TGTGTGTGTGTGTGTGTGTGTGTGTGTGTGTGTGTGTGTGTGTGTGTCTTGTAGAAGAGGCACGCATCTTACCGTTAAGTAGTGTTTGTGTACTAACTAACTTCCTGGGAGCATCCGGCACGCCACAGACAAATTTGGGGCTAGTTGGGATATGAGTCAAAACACGTGCTTCCCAACGAACCTTCGGGATCCGGGCGCTAGCAGCCGGAACTCAAACAGACTTCCGTAGAATTTCTCCAGGAAACCGTCGTGTGGGGCGGAGATGGGCGCTCGGTCTAGTGGCTGCTTTCTAATCTGCTGTCACGTTTGAGACCCTGGCGTTTCCTTCCCGGAAACGAGCCTTAGTCCCTCCGAGGTGGCGCCAGAGGCCCGGCAGGAGGCAGCGGCGGAGGCGCCTGCGCCAACGGAGCGGGAGCCCGCAGCGGAGGAGCCGGGGCCCAGGTCAGAGGCGAAGCGGAAACCAGAGGCAGGGCTGGGCTCAGAGCCGCTGCCGGCCTCCAAGCACGAGTCAGAGTAGTTCTTCGGTCGAAGACAGGAACCCGAGATGACCTGGGCTTCGGGGCAGTTGCCAGAGTCCTCTGGGGCGCCCCATTCACATCCGGTGTCAGTGAGGGGGGATTCCTTGCTGCCTGCATATCCCTCGGAAAACCGGATGTCCGAGAGACCACCCTTGCCACACCCACTGTCTGGAGGCGCCCCTCTCCTGCGTCTTCCGAAGGCTGGGATGCGAAGTGGGCGCGCACCCCTGGATCTTCCTGCTGGTGCCCATGGTGCTGATGGCCGCTCTGGGCACCGGTTTGATTTACCTGCCCAAGGATGTAGAAGAAAACTTCGAGGAGCAAGTTTTCCTTTCCACCCAATAGGGAGCCCGGCCAAGGCCGAGAGGCGCTTTGTGCAGAAACACTTCACCGCCAACGACTCTTACGGCTTCTCCATCTCCAGGAAGAGCACCGAGGTCAATTTCGCTTTTATTCTAGCGGTCTCCAACACGACCTCCCTGCTAGAACCAGCAATCTTATCAGAAGTTAGTAAAGTGGATGACGTGATCCAGGATCTGTATGCGATGGGGGAAAACGGAATCCAGATCCACTACAATCAGGTGTGTGCCAAGCACCAGGGTCTCTGCGTGCCTTCCAACCCACTCCTGTATGCCTGGCAGATGAACAGGGACCTCGACCTGAGAAATGTCACGTTCCCAATCTACAACCACACCGGTCAGCCCATCTACCTGCCTGGCACCATTGGAGGAATCTTCTCAGGCGAGAGGATGGGAATGAACCAGTTACTCCTCGAAGCCAAAGCCGTGAGGTTGCTCTACTACCTGAAAACTGAGGATCGAGAGGACAACGAGCGTAGTAAGAAATGATCCATTTCCTGAACCAATTTAGCAACATTGAAAAGCGTCTGGCCTTGAAGAGGATCCAGGTATCTGGTGGCTGAGTTTTATAGGGAGGGTTTATAGGCTGAGTTTTATAGACCGGGAGAAGGTGGGAGGGGTAAGAACACGTTTTCCAAGTAGTAGCATTCCTGGATTATTTGATGGAGTCCTTGACTTGCAGCTGGGAGTGCTCTACTCTGTTTGGCACTTAATCCAACTTCCTTAATCTCACACACCAAAGGATGCCACACAGCATAAATCCTTAATAATATTCTGGTGGAAAACACAAATCCTACATCCTTAAGGTAGGTCTGCTCAGTGCAGACATTGATCATCAGGTTTTCCAGTCAAATTACTTTAAAATCCTTACTCTCAAAGTCTTTGCTATTTTGGGGAACCCCCTGAAATGTGTTTGGAGTTCATTTGAATAAAAGCAACAAACTTTTAAGAAGTTCCACGGTATTATTGAAAAAAGAATTAGCTCACCATTTACCAAGTAAGTTATATAGCCTAGTGCCAGGCACATGCTAGCTATTCTGTAACTAATAGTTGTGAATAAGCCTGGTCAAAGTGAGACAACTATTGGAAAAATACCAGATCCTTCTGAAATATCGATGAAATTAAAATAGTAAAAGACAACGACCTACTAAAATTTTAGAAAAAGCCACAATTTCTGTAATTATGAATGGTTTCACAATCTTAGGTAGATCTCAGATCTTGTGTATTCAGGAGGTTTAAACCTTGGGTTTCTGAAAGAAACTTTAGAAAGCGTGCCACAGATTTGTGGGAAGAAGCACACCTATGTTAATCTTCTTTATTCTAAAATCACGATTCACATATTTTGATCTTTTACTAAATCTTAACACGTTTCAATCAGTAAGCTCTAGTGTTTCAATAGGGTTTGTGACTCACACAAATACCTTCTAATCATATTATTTGCAATCATATCATGCTACAGGTAAAATGGTTTCATTGTTTCTTAACTCTTTTTAATAGATATTTTTGGGTGGCAAAATACATGTAATTGATATAAAACATGCCATTCTAATCATTTTAAGTGTATATTTCAGTGGCATTAATTACATTCACACTGTTGTGCAACCATCACAACTATTTGGGGTTTTTTTCATTTTTATGTTTTTACGTTTATTTATTTTTGATAGAGAGACAGAGTACAAGTGGGGGAGGGGCAGAGAGAGAAGGAGACAGAATTGGAAGCAGGCTCCAGGCTCTGAGCTGTCAGCACAGAGCCCGCCGCGGGGCTCGAACCCACAAACTGGGAAATCATGACCTGAGCCAAAGTCAGACGCTTAATGAGCCACCCAGGCGCCCCACAACTGTCTGTTTCTAAATCTTTCCATCCCCCAAAACAGAAACTGTATAACCCTTAGGCAGTAACTCTCCATGGCCTCCCCCCAGTCCCAGCTAACCTTCATCTACTTTCTATCTCTATGAATTTGCTTATTCTAGAGATTTCATATAAGTGGAATCACACAATATTTGTACTTTTGTGACTGGCTTATTTCACTTGGCATAATGTTTTCAAGGTTCCTCTATATCCTAGCACGTATCAAAACTTCATTCATTTTTATGACTGGTATTTCACCGTATACATACAGCACTGTTTGTTATACACTTAACTGTTGATGAGCACTTGGAATGTTTCCACTTTTTGGCTTTTGTGAATAATGCTGCAACGAACATTGATGTACAAATATTTTCTTGAGCTCCTGTTTTCGATTATTTTCAGTATATACCTGGGAATTGAATTGGTGGGTGGTGTGATAATTCTATGGTCAGTTCTTTTTTTAAAAAAAATTTTTTTAACGTTTATTTTTGAGACAGAGAGAGAGCGTGAACAGGTGAGGGGCAGAGAGAGAGAGGGAGACACAGAATCTGAAACAGGCTCCAGGCTCTGAGCTGTCAGCACAGAGCCCGACGCGGAACTTGAACTCACAGACCGTGAGATCATGACCTGAGCCGAAGTCGGACGCTTAACCGACTGAGCCACCCAGGCGCCCCTATGGTCAGTTCTTTGAAGAACCGCCAAATCCTACCAGCAATGTATAAAGGTTCTAATTTCTCCACATCCTCACCAACACTTGTTTTTTGTTTTATTGATAATAGTCAACTTAATAGTGACAAAGTGTGGTTTGATTTACATTTCCCTAATTACTAATGATCTTAAGTATCTTTTCATGTGTTTATTGGCCATATGTACATCTTTGGAGAAATTTCTATGCAAGTCCTTTGCCCATTTTTTAATTTGGTTGTCTTTTTGTTTTTGAGTCCTATTGTTGGTGAGTACTTTGTATATTTGGTTTTAAGTTTATTTTTTTTATTTCGAGAGAGAAAAAATATGAATGGGGGAGGGTCAGAAAGAGAGGAGAAAGAGAATCCCAATCAGGCTCCACACTGCTAGCACAGAGCCTGATGTGGGGCGTGAACCCACAAACCATGAGATCATGACCTGAGCTGAAGTCGGATACTCAACTGACTGAACCACCCAGACACCTCAGTATTTTGTATGTTTTAAATATTAAACCTTTATCAGATATATGATTTATAAATATTTTCTCCCACTCTGTGTATTGTCTCTTCACTTTCTTGATAATGTCTTTAATGCACAAGAGTTTTTAATTTTGATGAAATCCACTTTATCTTATTTTTTTCTTTTGCTATATACTTATATGTAAGAATCCATTGACAAGTTCAATGTCATGCACATTTGCCCTGTGTTTCCTTCTAAGAGTTTTATGGTTTTAGCCCTCATATTTAGGTTGTTGATCAATTTTTAGTTCACTTTTGTATATGTAGTGTGAGTAGGGGTTTAACTTCATTCTTGTGCATGGAAATCCATGTGGAAATCCATGTTTCCATGTTGATTGCTGGAAATCCAGTTTTCCAAGTCCCATGTGATGAACAGACTATTCTTTCCCAGTTGATTGGACTTGGCATCCTTGTAAAAAATCAATTGGTTGTAGATGTATGGGTTTATTTCTGGACTCTAAATTATATGCCATGAGCCTACATGTCTGTTGATGTGCCAGTACTACACTGTTTTGATTCCTGTAGCTTTGTTATGAGTTTTGAAATCTGGAAATCCTCCAATTTTTATCGTCTTTCTCATGATTATTTTGGATATCTAGGACTCCTTGCAATTCCATATGAATTTTAGGGTTGACTTTTCCATTTCTGGGGTGGGGGGAAGGTCATTGAAATTTTGATAAAGATTGTGTTGAATCTGTAGGTTGCTTTAAGTGAGATTAACATTTTAACAATACTGTCTTCCTCCCTGTGAACTAAGGTTGTATTTCCATTAATTTAGGTCTTCTTTAGTTTCTTTCACTAAATTTTTGTAGCTTTCTGTCTTTCACCTCCTTGGTTAAATTTCTTTCTAAATATTTTATTCTTTTAGACACTAAATGGAATTGCTTTTTCATTTCATTTTTGGATCGTTCATTGCACGTATATAGAAACACAACTGGTATTTGTGTGTTGATCTTGTACCCTGCACCTTTGCTCAATTTGTTTATTAACTCTATTAGTTTTATTGTGGTTTCTTTGGAATTTTCATATATAGAATCATGTAATCTGTGAAAAGCGATAGTTATACTTCTTCATTTCCATTTTGAATTGCTTTTATTTCCATTTCTTATTTAATTCCTCTGGATAGCACTTCCACTTCAATGTCAAGTGTCATTGGCGAAAGTGGGCATCTTTATCTTGTTCCTGATTTTGAAGGGAAATCTTTCAGTCTTTCACTTTTGATTATATTGTTAGAGTGCTCGCTTCGGCAGCACATATACTAAAATTGATTATATTGTTAGATATTCAGTATAATGGTCCCTATCATTTTGAGGAAGTTCCTTTCTATTCCTTGTTTTTGAGGGTTTTTTTTAATCATAATTGGGTGTTGGATTTTGTCAAATGCCTTTTTTGCATCTATTGAGATGATCATGTAGATTTTATCCTTTGTTCTATTAGTGTGATATGTTACTTGATGATTTTTCCCATGTTGAACCACTCTTGCATTCCTGGGATAAATCCTAGTTGGTAATGATGTATAATCTTTTTAATGTGCTATTGAATTGGGTTTGCAGAATTTTATTAAGGACATTTGAATCTACATTCATAAGATATTGATCTATGGTTTTCTTCTTGTAATCTTTGTCTGGGATTGGTATCAGTGTATGTTGAATGGGTTAGGGAGTGTTTCTTCCTTTTCAACTTTTTGGAAGGACTTGAGAAGGATTGGTGTTACTTCTTCTTTACATGTTTAGTAAAATTTACCAGTGAAGCCATCTGGTCTTAGACTTTTCTTTTTGGGTGGTTTTTGATTACTGATTCAGTCTTTTTACTTATTCAATGTCTGTTGAGATTTTCTATTTCATCTTGAGTCAGTTTAGGTCATTTATGTGTTTCTAGAAATTTGTGCATTTCAAACAGTTTGTTGGCATAAGTTGTTTATAGTATTCTTTATTTTTTAATGTTTATTTATTTTTGAGAGAGAGTGCACGAGAGGGAGAGAGGTGGCAGGGGGGTGGGGGCAGAGGATCCAAAGTGGGCTCTGCACTGACAACAGTGAGCCCCATGCGGGGCTCAAAACCATCAACCATGAGATCATGACTTGAGACGAAGTAGGAGCTCAACCAACTGAGCCACCCAGACAACCCTACAGTATTCTTTTATAATCCTTTCTATTTCTCTAAGGTTAGTAGTAATGTCTTCAATTTCATATCTGATTTAGTTATTTCTATCTTCTTTTTTCTTTGTCACTCTAGATAAAAGTTTATCAAGTTGTTGATCTTTTTAAATAACCAATTTTTGGCTTTGTTGGTTCCCTCCATTGTTTTTCTAGTCTCAATTGCATATATCTCTATTCTAATCTTTTCATTTCCTTCCTTGTTAGCTTTGGTTTTGTTTTGTTTTATTTTGTTTCTATTTCTGCGAGATGTCTAGTACCATAAGGTGATTGAAGACCTTTGTTTTTCTTTTTAATGTAGTGTAAATTTACCTATGAGCACTGGTGTTGTTACATCCTGTAAGTTATGTTTTGCTGTGTGTTTATTTTCATTTGTTGCTGAGTATTTTCTAATTTCCCTTGTGATTTATTCTTTGACCCATTGGTTATTTGATAGTGAGTTGCTTAATTTCCATACATTTTGAATTATCCAGTTTTTCCTCTATTATTGATTTGTAGCTTCATTCCATTGTTGGTTGAAAAGATACATTGGGTAAGTTCAATATTTTTACATTTTCAGACTTGTTTTGTGACCTAACATATGATCTATTCCAGAGAAAGTTTCATGTTCACTTGAGAATAATGTATATTCTTCTATCATTGGGTTGAGTGTTGTATATATCTCTGTAAGGTCTAATTTATTTAGTGTTGTCCATTTCTTCTGTTTCCTTATAGATTATTGGCCTAGATGTTTTATACATTATTGAAAGTGGCATATTGAATTCTCCATCTATTTCTGTCTACAAGTCTGTTAATATTTGTTTCATTTTTGGGTCTCTATTGGCAGTGAATATATGTTTGTAGATGAATCTTCTTGATGAATTGTTCTTTTTATCAATTTAAAATGCCCTTCTTTGTCTCTTTTAACAGTTTTTAAAATAAAATCTATTTCATCTTATAGAAGTATATTCAATCCTGCCCTCCTTTGGTTATATTTATATGGAATATCTTTCTCCATCCTTTAGCTTTCAATCTATTTATGTCTTTGGGTCTATAATGAGTCTCTTGTAGACAGCATATAGTTGAATCATGTTATTTTATCCATTCTGTCAATTTCTACCCTTTTATTCAAGAGTTTAATCCATTTACATTTAAAATAACTGCTGACAGGGGCGCCTGGGTGGCGCAGTCGGTTGAGTGTCCGACTTCAGCCAGGTCACGATCTCACGGTCCGTGAGTTCGAGCCCTGCGTCAGGCTCTGGGCTGATGGCTCG